ACCCGAGACGCCACAGCAACGCTCCTAAGAGCTGTTGCCGACACACAGCGAACGCTGTGCTAAGATAACTCAGGGCTGGTGTGCGTTCCACGGGGCTTCCGGGTGGCGGTCTCCGTTTCTCCCGCTGGCCAGCTTCTCGCCCTGCAAACACCTGTCTTCGTCTCCAAAGCAAAACCAGCGTCCGGGCCTGGAGATTCTGCATGGACAACTCCGATGTCACCTGGGGTTTCGAACCCTCGGAAGCCCTCAGACAGGGGCGGGATCCTTACGTCTGCTGGGCCTGAGGTTAAGAACACGACACGGAAGGGTGAGGACAGGCGTCCACGAGGGCAGAGCTGAGCGCTGGAAGGGGCTCCTGGCTGAGACCTCAGTGCAGGAGGGAGACAGCTCCCTGGGCAGCGCCGGCGTGGCCCCGACCGGGGCAGGGACCTGGGGACACGCAGCAGGAGTCTCACCCTCGAGTGTTTTCATGACGGTGGTCGGCCACATAATGCCTGGAAGACGTCCACTTCCTGGTCCTCGGGCCCACGGCTGCGTCGCCTCTGATGGCAGAAGGGACTATGGAGGGTGGGATGATGGCGAGGCCGGAGCCGGGAGCATCCTGCTTACGGGGCCAGTGTCATCACAGGGTCCTTCCAGCCCATCACGAGGAGGGGACGGTGGTGGGAGAGGAGAACCAGGTGACGTGCTGGGAGGACAGGGGAGGGGCCGAGGGATGAGGGAAGGGGACAGGCCCCCCGGAGCCTCCGCAGGAACCAGCCCTGGACGTGAGGCCCGGGTCCCACCGGGACCTCGAGGGCGAGTCGTGCCGTTTCATGAGGCAGTTCGTGGTGGTTTATTTCACGGCAGCAGGGGACACACGCAGTCCACGGCAGAGCCGTAGCCGTCAAGGCCCCACCGCGAACAAGGAGCAGGCCTAACTGCTCACCGTGTCACCTTCAGAACGGCAGGAGCCAGAGGACGGGCCGTAAGGGTCCCGCGGGTCCCACCCCGAGGCCGAGCCCAGCCCTGGGCTGCCCCACAGACGCTCCTGGGGACCCGGCCCCCACCCGCGCGCTGACCTGGACACCGAACGGCCATGGAGTCGGAGGGGCGGCTCTGCCCGGGGCCCCCCCCGCACCTCGATGGGGGCGCAAGAGGCAGCAAGGAGTCCCGGTGTGGCTGTGGGCCCTGTGGCCTTTCCTGCTGCAGCCATGCCGGGACTGCTCGGCCGGGGGCTGCCCTGCTCTCGCTAAGCGTGAGGGGGGGTCCTGGGACCCGCCTGGCCGAGGGTCCTCGGGGCCTCCTGAGTCGGTCGGACGCGCCGGAGCCCCAGCTGCTTTGACTTGGGACGGGCTGCGCCCTGCGGATCACTGCGGCCCCCACCCGGCCCGTCCACGCTCTGACTCCATGGATCTGATGGCTCTAAGTGCCTCATGTGAGTGGAATCAGACAGGATTCGTCCTACTGAACTGTCAGCTGGCTTGTTTCATTCGGCAAAACGTCCTCAAGATTCGTCCCGCAGGTATGCTCTTACCATCCTTCTTCCTGTAAACCGTGAAAAGCGGAGACCTAGCTCTCGCTCAGTTACAGTGCGTGAGAGCAAATTCTGGACAGAGCCACCACCGGGCACAGGGACTACCAGGGCACCGAGGAGACACAGGGGCAGCGCTGGACAGCAAGAGCCTGGATTCCAGGGGAGGGCGGACCGCAGGGAGCCCACCCACAAGCACACGGTGCCTGCGCGGCCTCGGGGGCACAGGGACTTTGCACAGCTCTGCCAGCCACCCTGGGGCTCAGGCCACGTCACCAGCCAGAGGGGACCTGGACGTCTGGCTGCAGAGTCTGTCCTGGGGCCGAGACAAGAAGGCAAAGGGAGCTGGTCCCTGTGCCCAAAGGCTGCGTCCCGGCCACACTGGAGCCGGGGGCTGGGATTTCTGTGCAGTGGGGGCCTCCTTCCAGCCCAGGCGGGGGCCTGGCCACTCAAGGGGTATTTCATGGATCGGCAGCAGGAATCAACTTTCCTCTGAGTCCCTGAATAATGGAAGATAATAATCTTTTTTCTCCCTTGATGCTTTTCTGCACCTACACACAAAAATAACCACCGATGCCAATGCTGCCAGAGATGACAAGAGATGTCACCAGACAGACTGATGAAAAGGGAGCCGCGCCAGCTCACCCCTGAGTCTTCATGACACTCCCTGCTCCCCCAAGATCATTTTTCAGGAGGGAATTGGGTGCATTTAACTGGAGTGCTAACTAGAATGTGGGCGCGCTGGGGAAGCGTCCCTGCTTGTCACTGATGGAGGATGAGGACCTCAGGCCCACGGAGCTGTCGGTGCTGTGCCTCTCAGAGGATGCTTTCTGGAGCCTTCAAGAGAAGACCTGAAATCTCACAAAGAAGTTCTTTAGCCACTTAATTAAAATCAGAGATCACACAGAGATAATACTTCAGCCTTGCGACTTTCAAGCTAAATTCTACTGGAGGGCTTCCCTGGTGGCGCACTGGTTAAGAATCCGCCTGCCAATGCAGGAGACACAGGTTCGATCCCTGGTCCGGGAAGATCCCACATGCCGCAGAGCAACTAAGCCCATGCGCCACAACTACTGAGCCTGCGCTCTAGAGCCCACGAACCACAACTACTGAGCCTGCGCTCTAGAGCCTGTGCTGCACTACAAGAGAAGCCACCGCAATGAGAAGCCTGCGCACCGCAATGAAGAGTAGCCCCTGCTCGCGGCAACTACAGAAAGTCCATGTGTAGCAACAAAGACCCAATACAGCCAATAAATAAGTAAATAAAATAAAATAAAATTTTCTACTGGAAAAACCCCAACAAACAAGAAAATAATGAAGGATTCCATGCCCTCCATCCCTGATGCCTCATGCCTGGAAACTTCCGTGGTCGGACCGTCAAGGGTGCAGCTGCAGGGGACAGCAGGGAGGCTCCCCGCAAAAGTAAACAGAATCACCACAGAATCCAGCTAGTGCACTCCTGGGATAAACCCCAAAGAACCGAGGGCAGGGACTCACCAGACGTTTGTGCCGTGTCCACAGCAGCGTTATTCCCAACAGCAAAAGGAGGAAGCGACCCAAGTGTCCACGGGCGGATGACGGATGAACAAGGTGAGGCGATACATGCGCGGGAGTGGTACTCAGCCCCTAAACAGGAAAGGGTCTGACACCTGCTGCATCACGGATGAACCCAGAGGACACTGTGCTCAGTGAAACAAGACAGTCACAGCAAGATGCTGCCTGTGGGATTCCACTTAAATGAGTCCCTGAAGTAGCTGAATTCACAGAGGCAGAAGGTACAGGCTGGGTTCCAGGGGCTGGAGTTAGTGTTTAATGGGGACAAAGCTTCAGTTTGGGAAGATGAAAGATTTCTAGGGACAGAGGGTGGTGATGGTTGCACAACACTGTGAATGTATTAACGCCACTGAACTGCACATAAAAATGGCGAAGACGGTGAATTTTATGGGGTTTTTTTTACCACACACACACAGTTGATGAAACATAAAACTTCTTCCTTCCTGTGGCAGTGACAGCACCTACTGTGTGCAGTGGGCCGGGGCTTCGTAAGCACCCATCACAAGCACATGGCCACACTCACCACGTGCTCACCAACACTGGGGTCTTTACTTCCTAATCTGACGACTGATTTGGTGAGAGCACCTGGGTGGTGTGAAGCAGTGTTTCTGGAAATGGGGAAGAGGTGGGTGACGGACGTGAATGGTGGGTGACGTGGGGACCAGATGATGCCTAGAGGATTCTCAGGGTCAGCTCGACCTTCGGTGACGCTGTCATTGGTTGGCACAGCCCTAACTTCTGTTCCCTGATCCCTGTGTAAGTGATTTCCCTCCTCGGGTTGTATGGAGTTACTGCTACTGAGGAAGTCCAAACACGTCGAGTGTCTTTACAAGCAGAATCCCCAGCTGGGGCCTGGTTAAGACAACTGGAAATGACAGCTCAGGAGTCAGACACCCACACGATGAAGGAGAAGCCAAACCAATTTCCTAAAATTTACATTTAAATCTAATCTGCAGTCAGGATCACCAGGCTCATGGTCAAGACCGCTCACAGCTAATGTTCCAGAACAGAGCTCTGTGTCTCTGAATAATGAGCTGACGGCAGGGAGCTCGGGCTCTACCCCGGACTGCAGAGGGGCTCTCACTGAGAGGCTGACATGAGCTCTGCCCTGCTCTGCCTGGGGCCGTGGGGTCCAAGTCCGAGCCTCTGCCACCCCTGGAAGCTGGAGCTGGGGAGGTTAAGGCAGGACGCCCCTGCCACCCCGTGAGAAAACACAGGCAATGCTTTGAGGGCAACACGAAGCCACATCCTTCAAATACTGCAGCACCTCCTCTCGTCTAAGCCCGACCCGGACGACACCCACTCAGGCCTTCCCCGAGTGTTTCCGAGACATTCCGCAGTGTGCGCATCACACAAACGCTGCTGAGCTCTGGGTGACATCCTGATCCCAGGATGACACTTCTGCCCGCTGCCTCACGGGACAACAGAGGGGGCAGGAAGTCTACTGTCCGCTCAGAAAGGAGCCCCAGCACCTCCACAAAGCCGGCCCTGGGTGTGCCAGAGCTGGGCGCCTGGAAGAATTCAGAGGTCCTGTCCCTGTGGTCCAGGACGACGGGACTTGAGTTTAGAGCACAGCGCTCTCTAGCCTGGGTGTTTTAACTCCAAGCTGTCCAAGCCTCAAGGCCTGGCCGTCAGAGCGGTTGAGCGAGAAGGCCTCGCCGAGTTCCTGAAATCGGCTGGAATTTGGAGCCTCTGCTGGCACCGCAATGGGCGGCCTGATGGGGCAGCCGCGCCGGGGGCTCACTCCCAGCAAACCTGCCCTGGGCGGGTGCAGGGGGGCCCAGGGCCTGCAGTTTCAGCGACCAACGGGATCGCGGTGCCTAAGACCACCACCCAGCGGGCGCCCCACGGCCCAGCTGCCGCCGCCCCTCCCCAGTTCCGTCCCGGCCGCCCCCAGCCCTGCCCGGCCCAGTCATCCCGGCCCCGCGCTCACCCTCTCCTCCTCGGCGCGGATGTCGGGCATGGTGCTGAGGCAGAGGCCGACCGCCGTGACGGCCACGAAGGCCACGGACACGCAGGCGAAGAGCTTGCCGGCCGGGCCCGAGCGCGGGTCGTCCAGCACGTCGCGCAGGCGCCGCCGGCCGCGCGCCAGCCGCCCGCCGCCGGACCCAGGGACGCAGGCCGGGCTGCCGGGGCCCCCGCGCTCCGCCGGCCCCGCGCGCGCCTCGGCGGCCTCCTCCTCGCGGCGGCGCAGGCGGCGCAGGCAGCAGCGCTCCAGGCGCGCCTCGTCGATGCCCCAGTAGGCCAGCTCGTCGCGGAAGGCCAGGGCGCACGCGCCGCGCAGCAGCCGCAGCTTCCCGGCGCGCAGCAGCGCCACGATGGCGCGGAAGGCGCACGGGCTGCGGTCGAAGAAGAACTCGTCGCGGCTCACGTCGTAGTCGTCGCACACGCGCAGCAGCTCGTCGTGGCCGCGGCAGGCGCGGAGGCGCTCGAGGCGCGCCAGGGGACAGCGGGCCAGCGCGGCCCAGGCCAGGCGCACCCTGCAGCCGCCCACGTTGATGATGACGTGCCGGGCGCGGGCCCCGCCAACGCTGCCGCTGCCGCTGCCACCGCCGCCGCCGCCAACCGGGGGCTCGGGGCCCGGGGGCTCCGCGGGCCCGGGGAGCAGGGCCATGGCTCCATGCGCCACACCAGGGTCCGGAGGCTGGGCCTGCGAAGGAAGGGAGCGCGCGTTAGGCCGTAGACAGGCCGGGAGCTCTGGGACACCCGCGTCCACGCATGACCTTGGGGCTTTGGGAGCGAACCAAACCAAGAGCTCCATCGGCCCGGCCGCTGGGTTCTTCTCTCCTGCATCCCTGACGCCTGCAGGTGGTCCCAGGAGCCCGCCCCTCAGCTTTCCAGCAGGCCCCGCTTAACAAGGGACCCGCCTTCATTTCTTGCCTGGAGACTAGGGACGCGGCCAACGCGGGGCAGCACGAGGGAGGAGGGCGGGCCGCCCTGGAGATGCTGCCTCAGGAGATGATGGCAAGGCCAGACCTGGGGGGTTTCCGGCCGGGGGAGGGGGCTGCTACGGATGTACTGATCCTTCAGAAGCGTCAGCCAAGCTGCCGGAGCAGCCTGTGGACGTTGTTCGGATTCGGATTAGAGGGAACCAACTATAAAGAGACACGTAAGAGTAAATAAGAAAATCCCAGCACTACCTATGGTTTTAAAGCCTTCTTAAAGGCATGAGACGAGTACTGCACTCGTGAAAAACAGGGCGTTTCGGCCCCTTAGAGGCCCACAGTGAGGTATTCACGTGAAATGAGGTCTGGGTCCTCATTAAGCACATCTTTCTCAAGGTGGTGTGCAGACAAAACACTTCACCTGCTGCTGGAGCCCGGTGATGGGAACACTGGGGCCATTATACTTTCTCTCTGCTTTTACATACATTTACAAACGTCCCTAATAAAAACAGGTTTGTCTTGCTTTTTAAAAGCTTCCAGATAATTCTGCTGCACAGCTGGGTTTGGGAGGCGCTGATGTAGAGAAGCTCACGATGCTTCGGTTGCCTTGATTCTCTAAGCCAGAGGTTCATGGGAATCCTTCAGGGGTCTCTGAGCCTAAAATTAGACGCAAACTTGCCTGTGCACACGTGTTTCTCGTAGAGGATCCTCAGATTCTCAAGGGGTCTGTGGCCTCAAAGCTTAATGAAGCTCACAGCTCCAAACATAAGGGAGGGAACTATCTCTGTAGTGTGGGGATTGCTAGCCCGGGTCCCCTTTACAATATTTTGAACGTGGGTCACCCACACTAGCTGGTGGGCACGTACACTTTGGCATTCGTTGTCGGATGCCTTCTCAAGAATGCTTGGGCAGAGGTAAGATTCCAGGTGAGTTTCTTATAGGAATGATTACTTGTTTTATTCTTTGACCAGGGTTCAAGAAACTCACAAAAGAAATCATATTCTTCTTAATGAGTATCTCATCGTAGCTTGTGCCCAGACCAGCACCCAGAATTCCTAAACGTGTCGGTTTACTCGGCACTTGTTAAAAGGACGTGTCACGAAATATGTTACTGAGACAAAATCATTTTTGTCCTGAATGTGGACATTTAAAGTTTTGTGGCGTATTTACCCACAATTGCACCTGGCATTCCTTCCTCTGCCCAGAGCTGGGTCACCCCTTAACGTCTATGTATCTGTTTGGAAACAGGGTCCCTGACTCAGGAACCACATCAAAAAGGGTCCATAAGTAACACTGATGACTGTGTCCTTTGCAGAGACTCCCGTGGGTTCTTTTCCACGCCGCTGGAGGGCGGTTCTGTTCCTCCAAATCCTGCTCAGGATGGCCCCCCTTGATGTGTTAACACAACGGGGCACCACGCACTTCTCTGCACCGTGGCAACAGTGACAGAGCAGAGAAAACAGGCAAATACCAATCCGGGGACATAAACTCCAAAAGTCCCATTTACCAGGGAGTATATCTTAGACATTGGCTAGGCAGTAATCTGCAGGGGAGGGACAGTTCCAGTTTGGTTCTCAAAGTGTAGACTGAGGGCCAACAGCACCAAAATTATCAAAAGAACCTGCAAAAAAAAGTATATTCCTGGCTCTACACTTAAAATTCTGAGGGACTGGAAAACTGCACAGTAAGGACCCCCAAATATCCCCCCATTAAAGCAATGAGAAAACCGGCAAAAACCATCAGAATCAACTTTTTTTGGAACTCTGGACAGTAACCAAAGGGTAGCAGCAGCCAGGGGAACACTTGAGTAAAAACAGCTGAGGGCTTCCCTGGTGGCGCAGTGGTTGAGAGTCCGCCTGCTGATGCGGGGGACGCGGGTTCGTGCCCCGGTCCAAGAGGATCCCACATGCCACAGAGCGGCTGGGCCTGTGAGCCATGGCCGCTGAGCCTGCGCGTCCAGAGCCTGTGCTCCGCAGCGGGAGAGGCCACAGCAGCGAGAGGCCCGCGCACCGCAAAGAAGAAAAGTGAGCTCTTAGCATTTTATTTAACCTGCTTCCAGTTCAGCATTCGCCTTGAAGATGACAGCCTGCGTTCCTGGTACCAGGACTGGCACTGGAAGAGGAGAGTGGACCCGATTCAGGAGGAACCATAACTATTTGGACCCTTCTGGTGGCTCCCGCGAAAGGCCCGTCAGAAGGCTTGCCTGTACCTCCCCTCACTCGGGACTCTCCCAGGGCTGAAGTGGCCCCCCGGGCAGTTTGTGGAAATCACTTACACGAAAATGTTTGCTGAGGCAACGGATGAATATTATTGTTGGGGCAAAAAATAGACTAACCAGAAAGCTTGGGAGAAGAGGCTGGGGAGTGAGACGCTTTGGAAATGCTCCAACACACTGCTGGAAATCTAGAATGCTGCTCACGCGCCTGGGGCCATGTGCGCGCTCGGGAGAGACCTGAGAAGGCCCTACACTCTCCCCGCGCCCCGCCCCCAGCGGACCTGCAGCTCTGCACAAGCAGGAGGCGAAAGGGGGAGGCAAGGGACAGGCCTGCTGGGTGTTGAGGGTGCCCTGACACACAGGGCCCGTCTGCAAAGACTGGTTTGTTTTTGTTTTTGTTCCAGGCATGTGAGAATCTCTGTCCAGTCACTTGCTGACCATTAAGCTAATGGGACAGAGATATCAGTGGCCACACAAGACAAAAACATACAGACTTTGCCTAATTCGTCCAGAAAAGTCAAACAAACAACAGCAATTACAACAAACCCTGGGGAGCGGAAGAATCTGATTAGAAGAACACAGGAGTAAATCTTCACGGCCTTGGAGTAGGCAATGGTTTCTGAACTACAACAGAAGCATAAGGAACAAAAGAAAAATAAATAAACTGGGCTTTGTCATACTTAAACTCTTTTGTGCATTAAAGGACCTTATCAAGAAAATGAAATGATAGCTCATGGGATGAGAAAAAATTTACAAATCATATATCTGATAAGGGTCTAGTGTCCAGAATATATAAAGAGCTCCTACAACTCAAAAACAAAAAGACAAACAACCCAATTAAAACGTGGGCAAAGGATTTGAAGGACTTCTCCAGAAAAGATACAAAAATGGCTAATAGACACTTGAAAAGATGCTCAGTGTGATCGGTCATCAGGAAAACGCCAATCAAAATGACTTGGTACCACTTTACGTCCATTAGCTCGGCTGCGACCAAACAAATGGAAAAAGGAGTGTCGGCAAGGGCGTGGAGAACTCAGGACCCCCGTCCGCTGCTGGTGGGAATGTGAAATAGTGCAGCTGCTGTGGAGAACAGCTGGGAAGTTCCTCAAAAAGTTAAACATAGACTTACCATGGGATCCAGCAGTGTTACTCCAAGAGAAATGAAAGCCTAGGTTCACGCAAAAACGTGTACGTGAACATTCACAGCAGCCAAAATGTGGGAACAACACAACGGTCCATCAGCTGACCAATGGATACGTAAACGTGCTCCATCTACATACCGGGACACCATCAACCACAAAAAGGAATGAAGTGCGGACACAGGACACAGCACGGATGGAGGTTGAGAACATGGTGTAAGTGGAAGAGGCCGGACAGAAAGGAGCTGTCCAGAGCAGGCAGATCTGCAGAGACAGAAGGTAGGTTAGTGGTTGCCGGGGGCTGGGGGCTGGGGTGGGGGGGTGACCAACTAATGGTGACGGGGTTTCTTTTTGTGGTCATGAGGATGCTCTGGCATTAGGTAGTGGTGAGGGTTAAAATACTAGAAACACTGAATTGTACACATTAAAATGGACATTATCATTTCAATCAAAAAAAAAAATTGACATCCGGTTCTGTGCATGTCAATGAGCAGGTGTAGTGCGCTAAAGCCCGAGAACCACTGCTTCAACGGCCAAAATCAAGACCTTTCGTTGTTGTTAAGGATTTGCTGCTCTAACCACTGCCAGGCAAACCTACCACCAGGGCGACTCACGAACCGTAAAGCGGGGGGCACCCAAGGGGTGTTCGGCATGCAGCCCGGATGCCTCACTGACCCTGGGATTTGGGAGGGGGAGAAAACCAAATAGAAGGGGCCGTGGGGAGAGAGCCAGCGTGCCTGCCCAGTCACTGCAGGATTTGAGGGCGAAGGCGCTCCGGGCTCAGCTGTGTTGCTGACGCCTCGGGGTCGGCGTTTCATGCAGCAAATGTCAGTAACGTCGGCTGGTGCTAGACACGTGATGCTGGAGCTCATGGCGGTGGGGGTGGGGGGCGGAGCCGGGGGCGCGAGGACGACAGGCACTTCCAACGCTGCGAGGCTGGCTCTGCTCAGAGGAGAGGCTGCCCCGAGGGCTTTGCAGGCTCGCCGACCCGGCAGGAGGTTGGGGAAATCTGAGGAGGTAATGCTGAGGAGGAAGATCCTACTTTCCTCAAACGCAGTCAGTTGTTTAGGTCGCGGAAACTTGTTGCAGAGATCCCCCAACTGCCGCTTCTCATCGAGGACCCAGGGACAGCGGCTCGAGTTCCACATCAAGGATGCCAGCGGCTCACAGCCGACCTCCTTCCCAGGCAGCTCGGAGGAGGACTCAGCATCTGCCCAGGAGGCAGGCGGGGGTCCTCACGGGAGGCGCCCCACTCTCTGGAGCCGTGCGAGGCCACCGGGGAGGATGGAGCCTCCAGGGCAGGCTCACAAGTTTCTGGGCTGAGGCCGAGGTGTGCCCGAGGGAAAGCGCCACGTGACCTCACGTCCTTTTCCCGTAACTGTCAGAACCAGCTTCTGCCTGGAATACCGTGAGGGGCAGAGACAAGTATGGAGTGGGAAAGCCCACCTTGCCTGCGCTAGGCTGGGGTCCTCCACGTCTTCCTGTCCCCGTGCAGCCAGTGACAAATCCGTAGCACAGGTCAATCAAGTCCCTTTGTAGCCACGTCAAATGTGTGCTCCGAGTTCTTTGTAGGCAGGGATGACCGATCATTAAAGTAACTGGGGAATCAGCCAGACCCTAC